GGCCTGTAACCCTTATTTTTACCCATATATCGTTTGGAATTCCGTACACTCTTGAGAACCATATATGTTCCGCGGTGAATTCCATTATTTATTATGTCACATTATCAATACTTATCAATTATGCCTATAATTCATCGGTAAAGTAGCATCAATATATACAATATATATATTGATACATATATATATTTATCTTTCACACTTTTTATATTAAACATGGCAAAGTGTGTTTTGCCATGGTATTTCGGTATATTGCCATGGTAAACAATTTGCCATGGCAAAATTTTCATGACAATTTTCTTGTGAAAACACAAAACATTATATGAAATGTTCATGGGGTTATTGTTATGTTTCTATTGCAATCTCTATTTGCAAATTTCTACCATGGCAAAATTGTCATGGCATTCCTATTGCAAAGATTTGCCATGGTATAACCACATCATTATAATTATCACCACCTGTGTCCAACTGTTGATTCATAAATCATGTTGAATAAGTAGTCAGTCACTTGTATAGAATTTTGTCATACTAGTTATACACGAAAATCGGTCTTGTGAACTGACCAAAAAAGTGTTTGAAAATTGGTGAAAAAAATGCACAGTCATCATAATTGTCCAAAAGAATTACAAATGTTTTTTCCCCATCTGTATCCAAACCACAATTTCCATCATTATTAATATGATAATTAGTTGTTCGGGAAATAAGGTATCTGCTGTCAAAATAGTGCAAATCGTGATACAAGCATGTAACTTTCGGGAAATCATCTTTATGGCCACTAAATACCTCTGCTCATTCAAGGTGGCCGCCATTTTCAAAATAAATTTGTTTTACATAATAGTTTATTCAGTTATTTTTGATTAAAAATGTACAGACTTGAAACTTACACGCAAGCATGCACAAATATTTTCCTTTACGAAAATCCAAAGCTTCAAAAAAAATTGTTTTCATACCTCTACAGAATTCAGGATGGCGTCCAATATGGCTGATTTTATGCAAAACTGAAAATCTTTTCTGTTGTATAATTTGTTGCAAAATGTATGCTAATTTCGATGTAAAAATTGTTTAAATATATTAGAAAAAACAATCAAATTATATGTTAATCACATTGTTAGTCAAGTTTTTAAATTTTTTGTGCAAAAATATCCGTTTAAAATGTTATCAATACAAAAGTAAATTTTTTGTAATATTCATTTCTTCGCTTTTGTTATAATGTTTTATGCATTATTATGCCAATGTTAAAATATTTTATTGTATTATGGTATTTTTGTCTTCCTTCAGGTCTAGACAGTGTGCTTACATATCATTAAATGCAGGTACATTTGTATACATTCAATTATATCATTGTTAACATGATATAACTTGTTTAAATATTCTTAATATAATTTGTTAATTGTTCAGAAAAAAAAGACGGAATATACGTCAACGAAACACAATATTATGTTAGATAAAATCATGCCTGTACATGACGAGTGAAATGTTGTCTATTTACGAATATAATTAATTCCTGCTAAATTTCTGAAAAGATGAAAATCGCATTAAAGCAATCATATTTTGCATTTTATATCGTACTCTTGTAATAAAATGATTCAAAATTATATACTGTTCATTTCTAATAACTTCTGTAGACATGATAATTTTCAAAAGATACATAGTAAAATTAGGGCGACTGATAATCATATTATCTATGTGTGGTGAAATAGGTATAAGGAATATCGTTTGACGCATATAACGTTACTTATACATGTAATTTGAAACATAAACTACTTGTATTTAGAAGATGATTCATACTTTATTTTGAAATGATGACCATAGGTTATTTGCCTAAGCACAGCTGCTGGAAAAAGACTTTAATTCTTTAAGACTGAAGTAGGCTAGTATCATTTTTTCACCAAATACAGTCATGATTTGTAAATTGTCTGAAAGGAAACATGCCCAATAACTAGGCTCTCAGAACATTTTCACACAAATCGACTTTGTCCAATAAGAGTCCATGTAAACCAAGTAATTTGGAACTTATACCAATAGTTCATAATTTTATATAGTATCACAATGTGATGATATACTGTGTGCACTTCTGTTTCGGAGTAGAATTTTAATACATAAATCAACGTAAACTAAGTGACATCCTAGGAAATGTCATTTAAGACTGCAGGAGCATGATTAAAAGGCCCGTCACGAGGGGCACAGTTCTAAAAGACTTTTTAGGGAATCACATTGAAGTTCTCTTTTTGAAAACTATAATGTCAAGAGCTTAGATAGTCAACATATCACCTTGCCAAATAGAGCAGACATATTTTGAAGTTAAATAAAATGTTTTTGGATCAATAAGTGTACATATATTTGCATAGTAAAAAGTAGTTAAAAAAATCTTCTCAAAAAGCAAAATGAACATAGCACAGATACTAATAAGCATGTAGCATCACATTGTGCTTTGTTAACATATTGAATGAATCATGCTAATAGAGCCACCAAGGTTTATAGACTTGTATAGGAAAACACATTAAAACTTCTAGTGTTAATATGCAATGACGACTAGAACTTAGATATTTGGGATGTAGCATGATATAACATTCATAAATTTGTATGCTGCAGTCTAAAATGGCTTTGCAATGGGTATCTCTTAATTTACACATACTACTGTAATTACTATGTTTTCTCTAAACCTACAGTACCAAGAGCATAGGCATTAAGCATGTATTGTTATAATTTTGTTATTCTCTACAAATATGTGATAAATCATAGACAAGATGGCCTAGATTTACTAAGCACTAAGGGTCACTGAATTTATACTGACTCCTATATGAATATGGTTATCTGAATCCTATTGAGCATTTTTCTTTTAAAGCAATACAAATAATTTACAAATTATGTGTGTTATGACATAATTGGCATGCCCAATATGATTTTATTACCTACCTTTATTAAAAAATTGTGACCTTTTTCAAACAATGATCTTAGGTGTGTGATTCAGTGTCATCATTACCCTGTTATGAAATGAAAAAAATAAGAGAAATGATTAATGTAGGAAATAAACTTAGTTTATATCTTCACTCATCATAACTGCATGCAGGCCAGGCGATATCATTGATATATCTTTTTTCACTTCACATAGGTGAGTTGATGTTGCAGTTACCTCATTTCTGGTATGTATGTTCAGATCTTGAATGAAAAATTCATTATCACACTGGGTTGGCTTTATAGCAATGTTTATATCATAAATATGAAATTGTGAAGGTGTCAATAATATGCGTTAATGGACTACCTTTATATCTCACATTCATGTACATGTTTGCTATTTAAAGTACGTTTAGTTGATTTATTGTCTTCTTATATATCTTTACATTTTACAATTTATATATAATATCAAAGGTATTGAAACAAGAAATACAACGGAACCAAAATTAATAATTTAAATGTATACACATGTTTGTATGTTCACACACTTGACCCGAAGGTCGACAAAAAACCTTCATCGATATGAATATTTTTATGGTGTATCATTTGCATAAGAATTTATAGAAAAGTAAACAAAAGCAAAGAAATAGAATGCTCGTACCTATGCCTATTTTATTGTTTTTCTATTACAATTATCGGATAAATTTACCCCACCAACTTTCACAAATATAAAAATCTGGAAACAAAGTTATCCCTCGGAAGCATAAATTACAGCAGAATTACATGAAAACTGCAGACTCTGTTTGATTGAGTCTGTACAAAAGGGATAAAGAATAAGTGCAACATCCCTCACGCCGCCTAGCACCGGCTTAAGCGGTACTCAATTTTCAACACTTAATAATGCCGGCATCAATAATCCCGAAGGACAAGAAAAATATAACAACACTGAAGTGAAGTACTTTTTACAGCTGCCACGCGACACTTGAAACCTGATGATGTGAAGTATAAAAATCTGGAAACAAAGTTATCCAACGGAAGCATTAATCACAACAAAATAACATAAGAATTGCAGACTCGGTTTGAATACGTGTACATGAGTGATAATGAATAAGTGCAACATCCCTCACGCCCCCAAGCACCGGCTTAAGCGGTGCCTAGTTCTCAACACTTAATAGTGCTGGCATCAATGATCCCGAAGGACCAGAAAAATATAACAACACTGAAGTGAAGTACGGTGCAACTTTTTCAACATCTGCCACACGGCACTTAACACCTGCTGTTGTAAAGTATTAAAATCTGGAAACAAAGTGAAAAAGTCAAAATAACTTTTTATTTTGTAATAATTTCTTGTGACCTTTTATTCTACTCCACATTTATAATCTATGAGGGCAGTTTTTTTATATTATATTTTAAACACTTTTCTTTATTATTTATTGGTAGATTGGTTGATCGCGTCAGGGGTGGCAAAGTAAGAGCCTCCCAAATAAGTAAACAAGATACATTCTGGACATGGAACGTCAATAACGATTATCTTTGACAAAATTAGCAAATTTATGTCACCAATTTCATAGCGACTGTGATATAATGTCGTACTTGCAACTATCTCACACAATCTCAATCACGCTTTATACAGTACGGTGTCCATACACCAAACTTATATAATTATAACGTACGGCTGCCAACTGTAATTTCTCCATTAAGTATTCGTCAAAACTCCAATAACGAAAATGTACTGATAAGGCGGACAATACTGAAATAATTAAGAATTATCGAGTAATACACGAGATTAAGCCGAGTATTAGAGAGTATAAGCCTTTAAGGTGGAAATCTATATTGTCTTAAGAACAGAAAACAATTATCCACTAATTATGTAGTCGTATTTTAACAATTGTTATTGTATGCAAGAAACCATTTAGATAGCCCATATTTCCATTAAAGGATCAAAAATACTTCTATGGCATTGAAATCATTATTATGATCTAAATTCTGGACAAAAAGTGCTATTAAGAAATATTCTAATTTTATAATTGAAACAATAAGATGTCAAGTATCGGATCAAGTTCTTTAAACATTTTCTTTGAAGATAATAAGGTTTGGATAATGAAACATATTAATACAATGATAGTGATATGAAATGGGAAAAAATGGCATCGTTTTTGAATAGCTAGGAATACGAATTTGTACTGTAATATAAACAGCTTTAATATAAACAAGAATAATAATGGTGTTATGTTATGGTTACGTTAATAACTCTTAATCACTTTCCCTGAAATGTCAACAGGGATTGGTTTTGCTGGCAGATTTTCAAATTCGTGTTTCCAGACTTGTAATAATTCGTTTGTTTTTCCTTTAAATTTCTTAAAATGAAGACCTTGTTCGCGCCAATTAGTCGAAAGTCCAATATGATCTGAAAGCAATTTGAGAGAATTAATTATAAATGTTTAAGAAAAAAAGTATACTTATTTTCTACATTCTGACAAACAGTGACTAAGAAATATCAAAAGTTATGCCTCATATTTTGTCATTAAATTTTGTGGTGATCCTACACTAGATGTAAAGCATAATACCAACCTGGTAAATTTGTATATAGTGTGAACTCAGAATTTATATACGCATGATATATATGCCATATTGTCCATATGTTCTTATGTGTCCCTTTCCTTCTGAATTGTATGTACCATTTGCTTGCTATATTATTTGGTATAAATAAATCTTTTGTGTCATCATTACAAGCCAAGCTGTACCATTCTTGAAAATGTATCCAATTATCTCTGCTTGGAGAAAATCCCCATGAACCAATAACGGGATAGAGAAACACAATGCTATTTGTTGGACCTACAAGAGGGGAGCTATCTTTCAAGTGATGTTTCATAGAAAACCCTTGTAAGGCATAGCCATTTATTTCTGAATGATTGTCGTATTTCTTATGAACATATTTTAGATATTTGTAAAAATAAATTGAAACAGTGATATCATCTTCACAAATGACAGCTATTTCAGAACTGTTTCGCTTTGGCCTCCACGTAGAAATCCATTGTCCGTGAAGACCTACATGCTCGAAATGTGGTATAACCTCATAATCACCATGTTGGAATGAAAATGTGTTGGCCGTTTTTACTACAGCTTCATCCAAAACACCCTCTTCTGATCTGTCTATCCATACTTCAATTTTTACAGTATCACCGTCGTAGATGGCCTGATTCAATGAACGAAGTAATCTGACGAGGGATTTAAATCTATTAAAAGTTATCACGATAATGCGTAAATTGTATGTTCTATTGTCAAGTTTACGTAAATAATTTCCTTGCATTCGTTTGCAGTACAATGGATATAACCGGCGGTTTACATTATTTGTTTTTAAATCCTGAATATTCGAATGTATTTGCATAACCTTCCAAAACCGGTGTTTAAAAGCACTGGATAGTAACACCAACGTTATCCATACTAAAACGATATTAAGTATTACTTTAATATTGCCTATACTTTTCATAATGAGTTGAATATCTGACCAATTATCTAAAATATAAACAATCACAGCTAAGTACTATTTATATATAAAAAAGTGAAACAATATAACACAAATAAACCTTAGACCCATCAATCGGTTATGTTTAAGTATTGGTTCATTGTTTATACATATAACACTATCATACTGACTGTAAAAGATAAACATACATATATTTTACAATGAGTATGGTGTAATTTATTGATTATTAATTTTGTTTAGCAAGTATGAATGGCCCTCTGTGTACATAAAGGGAATGTTAAATTGACCAGGTAAATCACACCGAAACGCATACATATTTCTCATGTGTTTTCAGCTATATCTGTTTATGCAAAAAAAATTAATATATATATATATTATATCTTACAAGAATATAATGGTTTCTATGATAACTAATTTACATCAGGTACTACTTCATTAGCATATCTTATGCTTATCAACAACTAACGGAGTTTGTCCTTTTTATATAATCTTTAATCTTGTAACACTATCTGAAGCACAATTATTTAAACATTCCTTCATCTTTGGAATACAAAAAGCCTCAATCAAATGTTTCATACATAATCTTTAAAAAGGCTTTCTACTGTGCGAGATTTTTCTGTCCTCATTATCAAATATAAATTGTAAAATATGTTATTTTATATTTTATAATGATAGAGGTATGCGAATAAAAAAACCTCACTATAAATAACTAATACATATAAATGAACAGAAAAATGTCACATAGATTTGAATCCAGCAATATTAACAACAGATTGAGCAAATGATATATGATCAAGATCAAATAACAATGTAAATATGGTCAAATATACGTATATATCGTGTGTTAAATAAATTGTCTTAAATTCTGTTTTTAGCAACAGGCAGGGGCTGTAGATATTACTAGATAAATCTTTCAGATCAAGTAAGTTTGTTAAAATTGGTCAGGTATATAATGTGTATTGTTACGAGCCAGGCGTAACGAGAAAGAAAAGCCAGCAACAAACTTGTAACAATAACAAATTTATTACAGAAAAATTATTAAAGAAAAATAAATTAACAAATTATGTTTACAAATACCTGAAGTCCAAATAAAAATGAAAATTACAAATGTCTAGTCTGATCCTGGAATGATCCTTTTTGAATAGCACAGTTAAATCCAAGTTAAATCCAAGAACACTTTAGAATAAATTCCCACAATAAAATCCACAAGAATAATTAATAATCCAAGCTCCAATAAATCACTTAATTTCCAAATTGAATAATACTCCAAATATATTGATGACTTAAAAGATCACTGATGACTAAAAAGGTAACTGATGACTTAAAGATAAGATTAATGAAAAATGTCTCCTTATATATATTAACTAAGAAGTTTCCAGAAAGGTCTATTATGTTCTCAAGTAATCATAATCTAGCAACTTCAACAATAAAGATCATTCCAGAAGTTTCTATCTAAATATAATGCATGAGTTTTCTACAACAGTTAAGAACCTTCTAGTACATACATGTAGTTTATGTTCTAAAAATAGAACAATGATAATATTGGAAATACCAACTGGTCAGATATAAATTATATACATGTAATATGTTGCATACATAACACTTCCCCTCTTCAAGAAAAAGAAATATGAATGAAATGAATATTTCTTTTACATAAATTCAAACAATGTAACTAACAAATAACATAGGAGAAATGTTAAACAATTTTATACATTCATATATATGTGTATTACAAACAATAGCAAACAACAACAAAAAAAATAATCAATCATATCATATAAATGCTATTACAAACAATAGCAAACAACAACAAAAAATAATCAATCATATCATATAAATGTTAAATTTAAAATACTGCAAATAACAGTTTTAGACACGTGAAAGTGCATCAGGGATCAAATTATCTTTCCCTTTAATGTGTCTAATGTCAAGACTATATTCTTGCAAAAATAAGCTCCACCTCAACAACCTTTGATTTTTGTTTTTAAGTTTATGCAAGAAAGTGAGGGGATTGTGATCACTAAAGACAACAACAGGCAACTTTGAAGAAGTTAGATAAACTTCAAAATGCTGAATAGCAAGAATAAGAGCAAGGCACTCTTTCTCTATAGTAGAGTAATTTTTCTGATGTTCATTAAACTTTTTAGAAAAGTAACAAACAGGATGGTCAACACCATTGTTGTCTTCTTGGATCAATACACTTCCAGCACCTATGTCACTAGCATCTACAGCTAACTTAAAGTTTTTATTAAAATCTGGTGCCAAGAGAACTGGTGCACTCTTAAGTATGGCTTTAAGGCTGTCAAATGCCATTTGACACTTGTCATTCCAAATGAATTTGTTTCTTTTCTTCAGTAAATTTGTCAATGGTTCTGCAATAACCGAAAAATTATTACAAAATTTACGATAATACCCTGCCATACCAAGAAATCGCATCAGTTGTCTTTTACAAGTTGGCACAGGAAATTCAGAGATAGCTTTGACCTTAGCTTCTATTGGTTTTACTTAACCCTGTCCCACTACATGTCCTAAAAATGTTAAAATCGCATGACAAAAGTCACTTTTTGCAAGATTAACTGTCAATTTAGCATCACTAAGTCGGTCGAAGAATGCTCTTATAGTTTTGAGATGTTCCTCCCATTCATCAGAGTAGATGATTGCGTCATCAATGTATGCTTCACATCCGTGTAGACCAGATATTACCATGTTTATAAGCCTCTGAAAAGTTGCTGGTGAGTTTTTCATACCAAAGGGCATGACTTTATATTGATATAAGCCGTCTGGTGTTACAAAGGCTGATATTTCTTTAGCTCTATCAGTAAGTGGAACTTGCCAGAATCCTTTTAGAAGATCAAACTTTGTTACATACTTTGCTTTTCCAATTTTGTCAATGCAGTCATCAATTCTTGGTATAGGAAATGAATCAGTTTTTGTCACAGAGTTCACTTTACGATAATCTGTACACATTCTATATGTTCCATTTGATTTCGGTACAAGAATACATGGAGAGCTGTAATTGCTTTGACTTGGTTCAATTAAGTCATTATCCAATAAATACTGAACTTCTTGTCTTAGGTACTTTTGTTTTACAGGATTTGTTCTATATGGATGCTGTTTTATTGGTTCAGAGTTTTCAAGATTGACGTCATGATGTATTTTATAAGTCCGTGTGGGAATATCAGGAAATAAATGTTCATATTCATTAATAAGCTGTTTCAGTTCATCTCGTTTTGACGGTTCTAAGTGAGCAAGTTTTTCATCCAGATTTTTCAGAATATCAGAGTTTTCAAGCTTTGCGGAACCAGGATCAGACTTTTCAAAATTTTCACAACTATTAGATTCAATTGAACATTGATTTTGTGGAACAGAGTTTACAAAAGATATAGGTTTACTAATTTTGCTATCTCTGTCAAAATATTCTTTTAACATATTTATATGACACATTTGCTTTTGCTTTCGCCTCCCAGGAGTATTAATAATATAATTAAGGTCACTGACTTTCTTTCCAATACTATAAGGACCAAAGTATCTTGCCTGTAATGGTTTTTTAGGTATAGGTAAAAGAGCAAGTACTCTATCACCAGGGTTAAAACTTCTTTCCTGAGCATTCTCATCATACCTTGATTTCATTTTACTTTGTGTTGATTTTAAAATAAGCCTAGCTAACTCACATGCATTAGTCAACCTATTTCGAAAATCTGATACATATTGAAGCAAATTTAAAGATATGTCATCTTCAGACAGGAATTTCTCTTTTAGAAGTTTTAAGGGTCCTCGGACAGTGTGACCAAATACTAATTCAAAAGGGCTGAAGCCAAGAGATTCCTGAACAGAGTCTCTTACAGAAAATAACAATAAATGGATGCCTTCATCCCAGTCTTTTTCAGTGTCAAAACAATATGACCTAATCATATTTTTTAGAGTCTGGTGAAATCTTTCTAATGCACCTTGACTTTCAGGGTGATAGGCTGAAGACCTATATTGAGTAATTCCTAACTCATGCATGACCTGCTGGAAAATACCAGACATAAAATTTGACCCTTAATCAGACTGTACTGATTTAGGTAAACCAACAAATGTGAAAAATTTCAAAAGAGCCTTGACAATAGTTTTGGCTTTAATATTTCTTAAAGGAATAGCTTCAGGGAAGCGCGTAGAAGCACACATTATAGTTAATAAGTACTGAGAACCTGATTTAGTTTTTGGTAATGGACCTACACAGTCAATAATAACTCTACTAAAAGGTTCATCAAATGCAGGAATAGGCTGTAAATGAGCTTTAGGTATTGACTGCTTAGGTTTTCCAACCATCTGACAAGTATGACAAGATTTACAGTACCTAGATACATCTGCTTTAAGGCCAGGCCAATAAAAATGATTGAGAATTTTATGGTAGGTTTTATTAACACCTAAATGACCTGCCATGGGTGTTTCATGAGCCAAGCTTAATATTTCCTGGCGATATGATTTAGGGACCACAATTTGGTGATTAACAGTCCACTCCTCTTCAGCAGGGACATTGGGCGGTCGCCATTTTCTCATTAAAATCCCATTCTTTTCATAATAACAAACAGGGACTTGTAAAGCTTCATCTTCACTAAAAGCCTTTTGATAAAGGACTGAAATCTCAGGATCATTTTGTTGTTCCTGGATAAGCTGTGACCTTGACAGCGTATCATGACCTTGATCTTTAGATCTTGGTGTAGAAAAATCAGATATTGAAAAATCTGTCTGAGTTTCAGGCAGAGTAGGAGTGTGAGAAAAATTTATTTCATTATCAAAAGACTGACCTATAAAAGTATCAGCTAAGTCAATATCTGAACAAAAATTGTCTTCTTGAATGGCCTTCTTAGCCATAGCTCGAGTATCTGCACATGAAGGGTAAAGGTCAGGAATTTCCTGCTCAATGGGATCAGGTATCTGATCCACACAAGGAGTGTCAGTTACAAGTGGATTAACCACTACCTTATCTCCAGCTAAGTCATTACCTAGCAATAAATGAACACCTTTAAAGGGTAAGAAGGATCTTATACCTACAGCCACCGGCCCAGTTACCAAATCTGAGGACAAATAAATATTATGGAGAGGGACATTAGAAAAACCACACTCTACACCCTGAATAAGGAC